CCGCCTTGCTTTTCTGGGGACCTCACAATAATGTTCTAACTCTACACACTTTTCTCACACTGCCGTTTCTTCACTGCTGCCTCTCCACAGCCCCCCTGGGTACCTCAAATATAGGACAATCACCCCAGAATCACTCCTCTTCCTCCATTTCCTGTCTCTCTGAATGTGTCCACACAGTTCCTTAAGCAGCAAACAGGAAATTGTGTGATATTACTCTCTCTGTTTGGCTACTAAATCCTGGAAATTTTAGCACCTAAACATCTAGCCCCTAAATCAAGTAGAACTTGATTTCTTCTCACTCCTATTGTCTCAGTTAACGACCTTATTATTTTTGGACCTGAACTACTGAAAACTTTCTAACTGCCTGCGGGGCCTCCCAAGTGGTTTCCCTGCTTCCGATTTTGCCCTCTGCAACCCAAGTTTCATACTGCTGTTGAGTGTTCTTTCTGCAACATTTTCATACAGAAATCCTTCCGCGATGTTCCACTGCCTTGGGGAGAGAGGGCCTGTTGCCGTGAGCCCCCGACTACAGGCTCAGCCCCTCCTGGCTTTCCCCTGCAGTACCTCCTGCGGCGTCCACACTGCGCTGTATCTGGGCAGTGGGGGCAGAACTGCACATTCTATTGCCTCCGTTTAACCATGTCCTCCTCCTCATCCTCACTGATCTGACTTAGCTTAGCAACCACCAAGAAGGGTTTTCCTCCTTGGCATTCTCTGCCTTCCTCTTCTCTTTTCCTTCTGGAGTGTTTGATTCAAGAGCCCATTGCTTGTGTCATGCGGTGTCAGCACAGTCACAATGACACTCAAAAGCCTGTGCCCACACTCCTGTCTGTCTCTCCCATTAGAATAAACTATGCAGGACACTACTTTCCGGTTTTCCTACTCCCTGGCAGTTCCTAGTCATTGTCTAAAGGAAAGCACCATGTTTTCTTCACTTTCAAACCCATGAGGTGCGGCCCATAGGAGTTTCCCATTACTTGTCTAATAGTTAGATGAACCATAACATAGTGGATTCTAGAGTTTACACATAAATTATCCACCGTAATCGAAATCACCCTGGAAAGCTCCCAGGGAAGTCCTACACTGGAGACCAGCATACTGATCCACGTGGTCACGCCCAGCACGGCTTTTCCTCCGTAACTGAAGTGGACGGAAACACTTTAGACAAAGACGTGTAACGAAGATGTACTTAATGACAATGTTTTATTTAAATGATGTAAAGCACCAGCATTAATGTCCCATGAGACTCAAAGGATGCCAAACAGGAAGTGACATGCAAATTTTTGTCTCTCATCTTGGGGTCACTCTCTGGACACACTCATCAAGAAGGATGGCAGAATCACCATGTTATACTTGTCTGTCTGTCTATATAGCTACCCACCATTCATCTGTCCACCCACCCACCCATCTATCCAGTCATCTATCCATCTATCTTATCTTTCGCTGAGCCTCTTTCTTTGGGTTTGTATCGAAGTTAAATGTGGGACTCCTGAGTTCTGATGGGACTCCATTGTACTAATAGGCCTGTAAGCAGCCACTGTTGATTTTTCACAATCAGTGTTTATTCAAAATCCACTTCCATCAAGACTATTTATTGCTTTAAACAGTGCTGGCAAACATGGTGATAATACCAAACATGCAGCACACTAGGCTGAATGAAAGCTACAGATTCACAACACGTGAGGAAAGTGTAAGGAGGGAAATGTCTCCACTGCTGCACTTATACTTCAAGACAAACATTTCAGCACACAGACTGGAAGGATGCTACTGCTAATTAAAAACCAGCAGTCAGCGAGGACAAGCTGAGTCAAAACTGAGCTAGTTACCATTACTTCAATGGGGTCGCTAAAGAAGCCCGTCGGAGGACAAGCGCTGGATACACAGAGCTCCGAGGATGCCGCGTATGGGTGAGTACCGCCAGTTCACCAGAGCTCACCCTTCCACAGGACAGTGTTCTCCTGCCCACGTCCTCCAGGTGTTCTGCAGACAGTCCCCCCGGGGGCATCTGTGGGTGCAGCTGCAGATTGTTCGTGCGGGTTTATAGCTCCCCTGACCTCTTTCTATTTCCATCGTATTTCAAAAACCTAAGTACCAGATTTAGAATTCTTTCTACAGCAGTTGAGTATTTTGCGCTTCTAGGAAGCGTCCCTAGGGAGAATAAATAACATGGTGAAGCTAAAGCAAACCCAAAAGTAATAAATCGCCATAGATTTCCTAAAGTTTCCTTCCCAGAAATGATAAATTAAGAATTGAAATCATCGCATTAAGTCCCACCAGTTAAATAACTATTTGTATTTATAAAGCACATGTCAAATGTATAAGTACATTTGATAACCTAAAAGAATAAAAAGTTGGGAGACTTCCGCCAAGATGGAGGTGTAGCTGGAAACACCTTGCGTCCTCGCACAACCAAATATAAAAACAACAAAGTTTTAACAACAATAAACGCAACCAAACCACACAGAAAATCAACAATACGGAGTCTGAAAACAACGAAATGCTCAGCTAAACCGGTGAGAGGGGCGAAGCCAGCAGCGGAGCGGGTTAGCCAAAAAGATCCCCGACCAGGGTGGTGTGCAAGCAGCCGAGGGCGCTGATCCCAGGTGCGAGCCAGCTATTGGTGGACACAGGGAAGAGGCGCAGCTGGCTGTCTGCGGTCGACTGAGCATTTGCGTGCAGATAAATCAGTGAAGAGGCGAGCATTGAGACCGCATGGCGCAAGGCTGTGGGCTCCCACATTTCCACTCAGATAAATAGGCAGGGGCAAGCAGTGAGGCAAACTGGGCGAGAGGAGAGGACCGCCATTGTCCCTCTCTGACCCCGCCCCCACATACAGGGTCACAAACCAGCAACCTGGGTGGCCCCGCCCTGGTAAACAACTAAGGCTCCGCTCCTCATACGTAACAGGCACAAACAGATCAAAAAATGGCTCAAGAACAACTCAGAGCCCCAGAGCCAATAAATCTAAGTGATGAAGAAATAGCCAAACTTTCAGATGCACAGTTCAAAACACTGGTGATCAGGATACTCACAGAACTGGTTGATTTTAGTCACAAATTAGAGGAACATATGAAGGCTAAACTAATTGAAATGAATGGAAATGCACAGGAAACCAATAGTAATGGAAAGGAAACTGGGATTCAAATCAAGGAAGTGGACCAGAAAGAGGAAAAAAATGACCAAACAGAAAAGGATGAAGAAACAAGAATTCAAAAAAATGAGGAGAGGCTTAGGAACCTCCAGAACATCTTTAAACGATCCAACATTCGAATTATAGGGGTCCCAGAAGGGGAAGAGGAACAGCCACAAGTGGAAAACTTACTTGAACAAATAATAAAAGAGAACTTCCCTGTTCTGTCAAAGGAAATAGACTTCCAGGAAATCCAGGAAGCTCAGAGAGTCCCAAAGAACTTGGACCCAAAAAGGAACACACCAAGGCACATCATAATTACATTAGCCAAGATTAAAATGGAGAGAATCCTAGAAGCAGCAAGAGATAAGGGGACTGTCACCTACAAAGGAGTTCCCATCAGACTGTCAGCAGATTTCTCAAAAGAGACCTTACAGGCAAGAAGGGGCTGGAAAGAAGTATTCCAAGTCATGAAAACCAAAGACCTACAACCAAGATTGCTCTATCCAGCAAAGTTTTCATTGAGAATGGAAGGACAGATAAAGTGCTTCTCAGATAAGATCAAATTCAAGGAGTTCATCATCACCAAGACCTTATTCTATGAAATGTTAAAGGGACTTACCTAAGAAAAAGAAGATAAAAAAGATGAACAGTGAAAGGACAGCAAACTCACAGTTATCAACAACCACACCTAAAACAAAAGCAAATTAAGAGGACAGCTAGATCAGGAGTGAACCATAGAAATGAAGATCACGTGGAGGGTTAGCAACAGGGGAGTGGGAGAAGGCGAAGGGGAGAGAAGGTACAGAAAATAAGTAGCATAGACAGTAGATAGAAAATAGATGGGGGGGGCAAGAATAGTATGGGAAATATAGAATCTAAAGAACTTGAGACACGTGTTCATGAACTAAAGGGGGGGAATGGTGGGGGAGGGGTGTGCAGGGTAGAGGGGAATGGAGGGGGGAAATAGAAGAAATGTAATGGCATAATAAAAAAAATATATATTTAAAAAAAAAGTTGGGACATTATATACACACGGATGATGTCTTAAATATTAAGATAACCCCACACTGCCCAGCACGGAAAATGCGCTCACCCAAGTAAATGAACTTTTGCAGTGAACTAATTCCTACAGTCATAATTTCATAGGAGAAAATGTTCTATAGAGGATATTTAATTTGTTTTGGAAAATGAGAGTTTTAAAGTCTCTCAGATACAATCCCCTATTAAATTTAAATTTGCTTCAGAAAACCCACAGTGTAAAATATTTCCAGTGAACTATTCTAGTAAGTTTTATTTTTCTCTCACATTAATTTTGATCAAAATAGGAAGGAGAAGGGAATGAGTGAAATACGCTACTAAAATCATCGAATTTTTCTTTAAAACTGCAAGACCCCTTAAAAGTCTTTTATAGTGAGGATTATTCTAACTACTTTGCAGAAAAACATTCACTCACCATGTGCCTAGAGACTATTATTCAATTGAGTTTCAAATAAGTAAAATATTTTTTTACAAGTTTCACCAAAACTTGAAGAACTTTGTAAAGCATCGTAAATTCTGTATTTTTGATTTTCAAAATTAATAACATGATTTCATGATTTTACTTTTGTTAAAAACTTTTACAGTTGGAAAATACAGAAAATTTTAAATGATTACACTTACCAATAATAAAAGTAGTTATTAAAAGATAAACGGTCATTGCATTTCATTAGGAATTAGCTCCCATCCACTCAATATTAAAGAGAGCTACACAAATTCATCCCAAGAAGTAGAGAACTGTGATGCTATAACTTACATGTTAAATAATATTTTAAAACCACTGATAATATTACCAGGCAAATGCCAGGGCTGGATTTACACAGCAACTTACCTCTCCACCATTAACATACTCCATCACAAAACACAAGCGATCTTTAGTCTGGAAGGAATACTTCAAGGACTTGAAATGAAAAAGAAAAAATGTTCTATTATAAACCTACACCATTACCACAGTACCAAACAGAATACCTAGAGACAGTAAGCACAACTGAGGAAATGAATTGTTATCTTCCTTACGAGTCTACTCACTCCTTAAGAGTGCTTAGGGAGAGTTTATGAGAAACAGGAAACAAATTATGTTCAGATCAGCATTGGGTGTTGTAAGTGAAAAAGTAAAAATTTCAGTGAAAATTAACTTAGAAATTATGATAAGCACTTCTCAATCTACTGGGCCATCTATTTCATCTTTCACTGCTCCCCAAAGTTCTTATCCATGTGACCTTAAAGTGAGGGGGACAAATCACTCCAGTGGACGTCTAAGTAATACAGGCCGGGCTCTTTTACTTGGAGACCTAGTTCAGCAACAACGCAATGTTTTACATGTAGGTGGCATAACATGACCCACTTTACGGAGTCTGTTCCTGGACTTTCACAGGTTATAAAGCCATTGGAGCTGCAGGGCTCTCTTAATACACGGGATGGAAACACACAGCAGGGCCGCACGTTACGTCTAACTGTCTGACGATACCGCTGGAAATTCCCACGTTAGCTAATCCTAAATCTTTAAGAGGTGCCTCCTTTTTTTAGCTTAATATATACTTCATTGAAATAGAGAAATACAGAGAAACTTTGCAAATTATGTTTCAATTAGAAGCACTCTAGGAAAAACAGGACTAAAAAAATCAGTTTATTTCATAACAAACAAGTCTGTTTCTACCTTGTCTAGTGAAGAAATATCATGACTTAGCCTATTTTTATTTTAATCTACTGGAGAAGTCCTGTATTTCTGATAGTACTTTATACCTAAAGTCTCAATTTTAACAAAAAAACCCTCAGTAAACGTCTGTGCCTTGTGTATTTAAAGCCAATGCTGCCTGATCATTTACACATTTATTAGAAGCCAATACACAAAATAAATATAAAAACACTACTAATCTTTTTAGTAGAACCTTTTTTTAAGTCCACCATTTTCTCAGTGGTCTCTTTAAAATGCCACAGGTGACTTATTTGCTGTATAAAATTTTTTATTAAAGGTAGAGAAATCCATGGGAGGAAGAAATCTCCAAATAGTAAGTGCAGAATGGGAAGGATTACAAACACATGCAATGTTACAAATTCAATCCATACATTTGGATAATTTTGAAGAAATCTGACTTACGGTCTTTGCACAGAGAAAATGGCATACCCAAATTAATGTTACTCAAAATGCTATTTTCCTTCGCTTAGTTCTGTAAAAGTCCCATAAACTGAACTCCTTACGGTTATAACATCCGCCCTCTCTTCACTTACCGTTAAAAAGGGGTGTCTCGTGTTCTTTAACACTCTGCTCTCCGTGAGAGTGTGAGCCACCTCATCCTACGGAAGGAAACGCAGACCTTTAATACGTGTTCTAAGTACCAATAACATAAACAGTTCACCACTCCCCTGAGGCCCGAAGATGAGAACCTAGAAACAGAAAAAGATTTTATACCACAGTGACATGCTTCCTGTATCACTAAGCTTCCGCTACACACACACACACACACACACACACACACACACACACACACACACGTCAAATGAATGAGTTACATCAGATAGCTATAAGGCACACATTCTTATAAAGTCACTCATACTTAATCAAAGTAGGTCCATAATGATACAAAAATACCTTTCAAGCATTCACTTATTGTTGATAATACTCACGGACATCCTCCCTCTATCTGGCTGCCCTAGCAAATCGGGAGCACGCACAGGAGGAGGAGAGGGGCGACCACGGCCTCTGCCTGCCCCCGGAGCTCACTGGCCGTGTGCGCTCCCTGGTGAGTTTGCGGGCCCTGGGTTCTCCCTGTGCCCCGTCACAAACGCTTTCCATCTGTAGCCTGCAACACCGCCACCAAACCAGGCTGTCGCCTGCCCTTCAAAGCCTGAGACCTGGCACTGACTCGGCCTGTTTACGGATGAAAGTCCTCCCAGGAGTCCGCTTCCAGAACAGGGAGCTTTCATCCACATTGAACGTTGTCTCTGGTGAGCAATGCTCCTCCCGGTTCGCACACCGGGAGTTTCTGAACGTCTTCAGCAGCCTTCACACCGCTCGCAGCCTCGAAGCTCACTCTCGCCTCAGGGAACGACTGTGGGTTCTTGAATCCTTCCCAGCGCCCAGGGCCGGCGGTCCAGTCAGGGTCACCGTCCAGGACAGCCTTTTCTTTCGGCATCACAAATTAACTTTCTGCTCTGACCATCACCTTCGCGGTGCTGAGAGGGACACACTTCCGCGTGGTCTTCGGTGTGCTCATCAGCAGCCTCCCCCGTCTGAGGCCGGCCCTCCCCAAATCTGAGTCGGCCCCGAGGCTGCAGCGGGCAGATGCTGCTGTTCTCCAGGACGGCAGCCGGGGCGGGAGGGGACCTGCCTGAGTGGCGACCACTGACCCCCACCGGTCTCCACCTTCGTGGTCCTTAGTCACCTTCCATTTCCTTTCCGGGTCAGTCCCTGCGTGTGGCCTCTCAACACTCTATGAGGCCACCGTCTTATCTGCGGTCCATTGTTGACCCAACATCACCAGGCGGCACGGGACTGTATATTCATCTGTGGTTAAGTACTGAATAGTGAATTTTAACACATAATTGCTTTCACAGAGAGCAGCTTATTGAAAAGGGGATTCTGTTTCTTTGAGAACGTGAAATAACAGAATTGTCCCCCCATATTTATTTTTGCAATTTCCTCTAATTTAGCCCACCCCCAACTATACATGATCAAAAATTCTCCCCTTGTTGCCCCTCACACTATTGTCTGGTAACTGGGCTTTGTGGGGGGAGCACGTAGCACAGAAAATGGCACAGAAGTGGAGGAAGAGAACACCTGTACCCCATTATCAGGGACCCCGAGGGGGGGCATCTTCTTTCATCCCCATGGCAGCTCTGCAGGTGGTTCGTGGCTCGGTTTCATGGCTCAGTCCCTCAGCTCCGGCTGCAGGTGAAGGTCATGACTGAGCCCACGTCCGAGTCCAGTGCTGTCGGTCATTTCCACTCGCCACGCCGCCTTCCATCCTCACACAGCTCAGCATCTATGACGAGGTGCTGCCGGCAGCCTTAAGGCATGTGGGTGTCGCCCACTCCTGACACAACGCCGAGACACTCACGCACCTTGGTGTGCCAACCCCGGGTCTTGTCAGGTGGGGAAACATCATGTGGTTTATCTTTCCACTGTGAAAAAGCATCTTTTTCTTCGGGAAACTGATAAGTAGGCTTGTTGGGGAAAGCAGCGAGGATCTACAGAGATCAGAACACCCTATCACTTGTGAAGCACACCCTGCTTTGCACAGTGGCTCAGGAAAGTGTAATGAGTTAGTGAGGTCAGACAGGATCCCACGTGGCTTGTGTACAAAAGGAAACACAGAATGGGAATGAAGTTTAGTCACGCTTGACACACAGTGGATGGCAGTGATAGTCACGGAAAATACATGTAACAATAATATAGTTATTTCATTTAACATAATTTTAATTTTAACTTTATCTTATATGTACACATAGAACTACTTGTATTCACTAATGATGGCAAATGCTATTCCATTTACTGATGCATTCACGTAATCCTGCCCACGACCCACCTAGGAGAGGGGCACTATCAGCGTCCTCATTCTTCAGATGAGCAAACAATGGCAAAAACAAGTGATTTGTTGGGGATCTGTAAGTAAGGAGCAGAGCCCACATACCTGTGCCGCCTCCCAGAAAACATCCATGTAACTATAATATGAGCCAGGTGTTACGCTGAGTCCTTTACATACCCTATTTAACATAATATTCTCGTCCAGGAATACTGTTTCTCACAAGTACATTTTTTACAAGTGAGAAAAATGACTCTCGGGCCGCGGGCTCTCTAGCAGCCTCGGCCTCTAGCTGGTAACTGTCAGCATGTTCCCTCCCGAGTCATTCTGACAAACACATACGCTGCCCCCCGACACACACAGATATTTTCAAATGTCCTGAAGGCACTGATACGCCCCCAGCAGCTGGTGGTGAAAGGTCATCAGGTGATGAGAGGCAAAGCTGAGATAGAAACCTGGGCCTGACTCGAGGTCAATGTCATTTCCAATACCAGACACTGACGGGGAAGGAGCTGAGATTCACGCAAGTGTGCAAGACACCGGGCAGGGGGTGGGGGGCGCGTCACTTCATGTGGGTGGGCCGTACATCCCCGATGAGGAAATACTGATGTAAGTAATGCCGTCTGTAAAGTGTAACAGTAACATGATATGTCACTTGCTAAATTAAGCAAGGCCTGGGCCAATTTATAAAGCATATCTAATCTGTCTATTGAGGGAAGAGGGATTTAATTTAGAGCCCTGAGGGCTGGCACATTAACATGTTAATTATTGGTATGAGTGAATGAAGTCATGAGGAGGGAATTTTGCAAAAAGAATTTCAAAGACTATTATTTCTTTAGTTTCATTATTCTAGTATTTTCAAATCTTTCTATTCAACACAAATAAGCTGTATAATTTATGAGTACAAGTCATCAGTTATACTAATCTCTTATTTAATAAGAAATTCAGAATGTTGGGGGAAAATAAAAAGCAACATCAGTATAATTAGTGATATAGGTCACAAATATATAGTAAAAACATTCTCCCAGACAGACACAAAATAAATATTTCTACATCCTCAAGGGAATAAAATAGCTTTGCTATATAATATTCAGATAACATTATAAACTTCTGAAAGTATTAATATGATGAATATTACCATACAGACACTGTGGTAGCAGCCCATAATCAATACTTTCGTTATTGAGTGAAACTCCCACACTGATCACATGCACGCAAGAGCACACCTGTGCACACAGCACAAACCCAAACTTCAGTTACCTTTGCAATAATGACTTCCTTCTTCAGAATCTTCATAGCATAGTATTTCCCACTTGCCTTCTCTCGAACCAAAATAACTTTCCCAAAAGTGCCTTTACCTAGTAGTTTCAAATAGTCAAAATCATTCATTGTCTGGAAAATACAAATTAAAAAGTCAATGAAGTATCTGAGGCAATTTTTTTGTAAACACATACGGATACATTCGCCACATCCATTCAAAAGCCAATGTTACCAATTTCTAAACACTCCGGAATGAGTAAGAATCACTGGCCGTCTAGACCATCAGCCGCCGTGGGTGCTGGGAATCGCTGAAGCAATTCTCAGACAGTGGAGGCAACAATTTCGAACCTAGAATTCCTCAGCTACTCAAATTATCAGTCAAGAAAAACTCCAGGACCAGATGGTTTTGCTGCTGAGTCCTATAAACATTTGAGGAAGAAATAATACCAATTCTGTATAAACTCCCACAGAAAACAGAAAAGGAGAGAACATTCCCAATTCATTCTACGAGGTCACCATGACCCTGATACAAAACCAGACAAAAGCATTTTAAGAAAATGACAAACCAATCAATATCCCTATGCAACTAAGTCTATGTAAAAAGCTGTAAAAATTTTACAAGTGAATCCCTACATTCATTTTCAATATTATATGCAGCCTGTAATTTTTCCAAATGTCAAGTTATAATGTGTGAACCATTCAATAATATCTCTAGTTCAAGAGAAAAGTAGCAAAAGACCTCAGGAAAATAACCAAGTACATTTATTCATTCAACTAAAAATCAAATAAATCGGACTAAGTCTACAGACTATAGTTTAAAAAGCTAGCTGATAATTTCATTTTCATGAATAGATTTTAAAAACCATGCAAAACTACAGATCCACAGAGCTACTTGTGCTAAGTGGTCACGAAAGCCGGGCGCCGCCTTTGGTGTATGTCTGCACAGGCCTGTCTGCCGGACCGAGGCGGAGTCAACTTTCTCTCTCCCTGGGCTGGTGCTGCGTCCTGCCCCGAACGCAGAGTGGGATCGAAGCACCACTGTGCCAGGGCCAGACTGAGCCTCTACGCCTCTCACTCTGGAGAGCCAGCTCTCATGCTGCAGGAAGTCCAGGCTGTTCTGCCGGAGGGGAGGCCGTGCAGAGAGGCGCTGGAACTCCAGACACAACGTGCAGGGAGGTCACGTGACGGGAAGCAGGGCCTTCTCGCACTTTCCAAACCAGCCCAGGGCCAAATGCAGCTGCGTGGGAGATACATTGGAGGCCAGCCGAGTTGCCCAAGCAAACCACGGAACCATGAGAAATGGCACCCTTGACTGTTTTAAGACACGGAACTTGGGCAGGCAATAAGGAGAGATGTTATTTTCTCAAATAGGCCCTGTTCATTGCACTGCTTCAAGCTTCCCGTGAGAGGTGCCCCCGCCGTTTGGTTTAGTCTAAGAGAACTGGGAAAGGACACTTGCTGGGTCCTATTACTCAGGAGCATGTAAACTGAAACGGAATTCTCAGGGGTGAAAATCAAAGAAGAATTTTTAAACAGCTTTATGATGTTTTCAGATGGAAAGTAACACATCCTCAGAAAATACCACTGGGCTCCTTTAGGACTGTGATCCTGGGGGCCAGGGAGAGATTTAAAAGGTATAAGAGCCCATAGCTTCTGTCAGGGACTCTGCCAGTCTTAAAAAAGAGGTTTGCCTGGAAGTTGATATTAATAAAAAGCATCCCGTCTGATAAAATCAGAAACAGATTTCATATCTGTTTTGACAAACCTTCAGAACGTTGCAAAAGCCTCTTTGATACCAACTGCTCCCGTTCAGCCCGGTGTGCAGGGTAGTTATATAGTCTTTACAAGTGAAACGTAACTTATAACAAGATGTCTTCCTCTTTTGCATGGTGTTAAGGGAAAAGATACAATGAGATTTTAATAAAAAATGAGAGCATGGTTACTCTCCAGAAAAATTAAGCTCCCAAGACTCAATCCTAGAAATCCAGCAGGTAAACTTTTAGTCATACTCTTTCCTTTTCAGAATGTCTAACATACCAACGGGGCTGCTTTAGGCTAACAGATGCATATAACATATAACATGTGCATATAACATGCTTACTAAGACGCTATAGTATAAGAAAAAGACTAAATATCTAGTCCAAAATTAGGTTAAAATATTAATACAGAATTAAAGAGGAACACAAGGACTCTCTCAGAAAAGAACACAGAGGTTTAGGAAATGTAGCGAAAACAGGTAAATTCCACATACATTTACAGTGGAAGAACTAACCCGAACACCGCCCCGGGGACACTAAGCTAAAAGGGGGGCTCTCCAGAAGTCCGTCTCTCTGCCCACACCTCTGCCCACGTCCCCTGGTTCTCCTCCTCACGGGCAGGGAACGCTGTCCCTTAACTGGTCAATTTGTACAGCACTGACCAGGCCAGGCAGTGGGAGAGCACACGTTTTCAGTGGGCCTCTCCATCTCTTCTCTTTGTCCAAATGCTAATCGAGCTTTGAGTTACGGTGGCCAGGCATTAGAGAATAAAATGCCAAGAACTGGAGTCAGACTTTAGGGGAAGACTGAAGGTATGGCCTACCCTTTACACCTGTAAAGGGCAGATCATCATGAGATGATCTCCAACTGCCCCCAGAGAGGCCTAGAAGGGTCACTTAAAAATTAAGCAAAACATTCTCATCTGGTGTTAGTTCCTTAAGGCCCCTCCTGATGGGGCTGGACAACTGCAGCTTGGCAAACCAAATCAAGCACGTCTGAGTCCCAGCAAATCCTTTATTTTTTTAAAATAAAGTCAAAACTATAATGAGAATATCTTTCTTTCCTTTTTATTGACTCTCCTGGGTGAGTCTGGTTAACACAACTGTCTCGGTTTCAGGGGCACGACCCACAGCACGTCGTCTGTGCCCTGTACTGGGTGCGCCGCACCCCAGGCCATCTCCCAGCCAACGCCTTTGGTGCCTCACCTGCCTCACCTGCCGACCTAAACGCAGAGCGGCGCCGACCTCGGGTTGTGAGGCCCGTGCTCTCCGCCCCATCCCCCAGCGGCGCCTCGCTGCCTTGAATAGTAGCTATTCGCTCCATCCTACTGCCTGGTTTTCCAACGTGAACACAGAAGAAAGCGTGTTCTGTACGTCATGAAAAGCATGTTCTCATTTCAGAACGTCCATGTTTACAGTCTGGAATGAAAAGTAATCTGCTCCTGGCTGGTGTAGCTCAGTGGATTGAGTGCGGGCCTGTGAACCAGACAATCGCGGTTCGATTCCCAGTCAGGGCACATGCCTGGGTTGCAGGCTGGTTCCCTGCAGGCCAGTTCCCAGCTGAGGACGCACGAAAGGCAACCACACATTGATGTTTCTCTCCCTCTCTCCTTCCCTTCCCCTCTAAAGATAAATAAATAAAATCTTTAAAAAAAAAAAAAGGGATCTCTAAAAAAAAAAAAAAAGCAATCTGAACTTCTACGGTTCTCTTTATGGCAACTGATACACACAAGGTGTCCAGTCCCAGAGCCACCTGCCAGGGCAGGTGACAACAGTGATTTTCCTGGGTTTAGCCAAATTACTGGGACCATTAGAGAACAGGGAGTACAATGTCCTACCTTCTTCTGAACTCTGCCATTTAAACCATGTTATGCTATGCAACTTTAAACAAAAGGAAATCTAAAAAGAACCATCGAAGTCAGATACAGGTCCAATAAGACAACAAAACCCCTCAAATTCAAAATACTATCAAGTTTTCATTTTGGAAACTGTTTTAGTGACAGAATGCTCAGCAATCTACTTCAAAAGACGGGTATGTGTTTAAGTCTACGCGGATGAAGCAGAACACTAGCTAACAACAACAGCTAATCTTCACTGAGCGCTCAGCGTGTGAGCACTGAACAGGAGGTCCCTCATTTAACCCTCCCAACCTCAGAGCTAAGTACCACTGCCACCTGCCTTTATGGGTGAAGAGACTAACGAACGGAAGGGTCAAGAAACCTCCCGCCACCACACGTGGTGGTCCCCACCATATCACTATCCTGCAACGTTAAAATTCTACTGATTTTTCCGAGAGGCCTATAACATAAATAAAATTAGTAATACCCAAATATTATCTAAGACCAAGAGTTTAAAATAATAATTCGTAAGAGTGCAATCATAGAAGATAATGAATACTGGTATAACTCTGTTTCTAATTTAACTTGATTATGAGTATAGTGATGATAGAGACTATCAAGACTCAAGACGTTTGAATCAATAAAGAGAAGCTGCACCCTGAAGATGTATGTAGAGGGTGTAATGGAAAGTCCTCAGATGCCTGAACACAATCCTTAAGCTCTCTGAGTGTCAGATGATTCAACTGTAAGATGGGATAATGATAGACATTCTTGCGAGGATTAAGTGAGATAATATAAATGACATAAAATACTGCTCAGAGCCTAGAATAAAAAAGCTTATAATAAATGCTTGTAAGTGTCAATCAGGGAAGGTGATGAATTCTAAGATAATCCACACTAGTAACTGTGAAAAAAGGAACACATATTATGTTTATATAATCATTTATAACCAGCCCTAACAGAAAAAAATAAAATCTTGTCACACTTTTCCATTTCTGTATCTTTTGTCTCCAATCAGCCCTCTTCTGAGTAAGTTTCCATACTCATTCCCAGAATTCTTCGCTCCATCAGTGACAACATCTCTAGTTAGGGTGTTATAAACTCCCAACCTTCAACTCTGCCTCAACAGTATCTTATTATTAATCTTTGCTACTAAGAGGATTTTAGGAATTTCCAGAATTACACAGAGTAGAGCTGGTACAGCTTGTTATTAAACAGGACAGTTTTAATTCAGAAGATAAGACCACCTGGAATCTGATGTTAAATAACAAGCATGTTAAAAGTTCACATTAATTCTGTACATGTACACACACCCTTGGAAAAGAAGTGTTCTTATCTCTGAGTGTGTGGTGGGTCTGGGCTGTTTTTACTTTGGCAATGACTGAGGACAAGGGGCAGGAAAGCTGACTTCAAAGTAAAGAGAGAGTCAGCCCTGGCTGGTGTGGCTCAGTGGACTGAGCACAGGCCTATTAAGCAAAGGGTCGCTGGTTCGATTCCCAGTCAGGGCACGTGCCTGAGTTGTAGGCCAGGTCCCCAGTAGGGGACACGTAAGAAGCAACCACACATTGATGTTTCTCTCCCTCTCTTTAGACTCCTTCCCTTCCCCTCTCTCTAAAAATAAGTAAATATTAAAAAAAAAGAAAAAGAAAAAGAAAATACAGTCCTAAAAAAAAGTAAGGAGAGATTCGGTTGAATCAACAAAGAGAGGATAAGTCTTCAAGGAATACAAAAAGGCTTCTTGCACATTTGGCCAAGATCAGACATAGAATGTGATTTTAATCGGGATGGAAATTTCAAAGAAGGAAGAGATCATGAAGTAACTCTAAGGTGTGACTGTATTACTTCACCTACTTTCCATGGCTGGCATGCAGGAGGAGGATTTGAACCCAGGCAGTCCAATTCCAAAGAGTTCTGAATCACTGTGCTTATAAGAAAGTACAGGAATAATCACCTTAAAAATGGTGTTTTCCTTCCTGAAATTTATAATCTATTATAACAAGTATATCCTAACATGGTGAAAGGTATATTCATCTATTTTGAACACCTATATCTTCAGATTAATCTTAAAATACCATTTTTTTCATATAGAAGTTGCTTTTCCACTTTCTACAGCAATGAAAAACAATTCACAATAAATATATAAATTGGCACTTATTATTCCGAGCACTGAGCAGAGGAAAAGTCTGCTTCCCTCACTGGCTCATGAGACTCCATTAAAATAAAAAAACGATTATTCCCAAGACTGTTCGCTTTTCTGCTGACGGGAGCGAGGCTGGGCCGGCGCAGGAAGCGCGGCAGAGTCTTTCCTGTGCTGCCTTCAGGAGCGCGCGGGGTGCCGAGTGAAAGGGGACCAAGTCGTTAGGGGAAGCAGTTCAGCTCCAAGTTTCTAAAATGGCATCTGAGACAATAAGGGGAGGATGGGAGTCAGAGGGTGGCCGATGGCACATCAGTCGCCGCCCCTAACGAGCCCTGTCCACACTCAGTGCCGAACCAGAAATGCTGCTTGAATTATTTGGGGTTAAACAATGACAGGTATTTAAGACTCACCTGAATAAAAACAACTACACCCAGATAACAGGCTGACTTTTTCTTTTCAAATTGCAGTTTTTAGCATATCTCTTCCACCCACACAAGTGGGCTGGTAGGGGGATGAGTTACTATTCCCTACCTTTCTTTTATGGTGGGTTGTGGACGCGTCCATCTCCTCCTCCCCGATGTTGTCAATTTGTGAAGTTGGACTGCAGTTCATTCTCTCCTCTTCCTGCCTCTGAAGTCTGTCTGCTACAGCCTGAATAGCTTCTGTCCATTCTTCCCTATAACAAGCAGAACTTCTCGTCAACAGAGAATGGCAAACGACTCGAGTTTCCTTTTTGTGACATATGCAATGGACACAAATACAGTCTATTCCAGTGTAATACACACACACACACACACACACACTCTCTCTCCCCCCCACTCCAAGGTGGAATTAACCCCAAGGCATTTTACATCACAGCCTAAAGTCTGTAGTACCATTTATTTGGAGGTATGTTAAACAAGAAAAAGAGGAAAAGGATTGTAAGAAAATTCAGTTAAAATCCTTTAAAAGGGCAATAACATGTACATCTTACTTATAAAGTACACTGATCCTTAAAGGTCTGCTGTGCTTTTTGAATGTCTGGTTCAGCTATTGTTAAGTCCATCAACGACACACCATGACCTTCACACCATGATCTTCACCAAGATCAGGTAGCCCAACCGAAATCCTAAGAAAAGTGTTCACAGCCAAAGCCTCTCACTGTTCTCAGATTATAGGTAACTTTCCTTTTTTTCTAGAAAATAATGTTTCACATTTCAAACCGAAAGAATTACATTTGAGGAAAAAATTGAATACATTTTTTTCATGATTTCCAACATGTTTTTCTCTTAGAGTTTTATTTTTGAATTTAATCTTTATTGTACCTTTAAAACAAATAATAGACATAAATTGTAGCTTAAATAGTAAGTCTCTCATCAGGTCAAGCACCATGTATTTCCATGTACATTTTAAACTTAGCTTGTTTTTTCTTCAAGTCCATCAGCATTTTCAATGGAATTGCATTAAGTCTATAGATCCATTTGCAAGGAATTACCATATTAATAAATTATCTTGCAATCCATGAACATGGTATAGCTCTGCATTTATGTTGGTCTTTAACTTCTCAGAGGAATGTTTTGTAATGTTCTGTGAAAGGGTCTTATACATCTTTAATTCAATTTATTTCTAAGTATACTTTTATTGTGGAGGGTTTTTAAATTTTAACTTTTAATTTTTCTCGCTAGTATTTGGAAATGTAGTTGTTCTTGTGTGTTGACCTTTTATCCTGCAGACTTACTAAATTCACTGCTTAGTTTCAGGAGCTTTTATTTTTCTGTATTTTCGACACATGCAGCCATGCTATCTACAAGGAAAGGCACGTTTTACTACTTCCTTTCTAGGATGTTTGCCTTTTCCTTCTTTTGCTTGCCTTATAGTAGTCTAGCTCAGACAGACCATCGGTACGAAGTTAAACACACGTGGTGAGAGCAGACATTATCACTTTATTCTCTCAGGAAGTTCTGTGCCTTGACCTTGAGCACTGCATATACTGTAGGACCTTTTCTGTAACTGCCCTTAAGTTGAGTAAGTTCCCTTTTCTTTCTATTCAACAGAGTTTTTGTTATAAAAAGGTGTTGAATTTTGTCGAATATTTTTTCAATATCTGTTGAAATGATCATGCAGTCTATTAATACAGTGAATTTACTTGAATGGTTTTCAGATGTTAAGGAAACTAAATTCTTAGGATTAACTCCACTGGGTCATGGAGTGTTAGCCTTTTTATGTATTTTGTGATTCTGTTTGTCAAAATTTTGTGAAGAAATTTGGCACCTACGTTCACAAGTATATTGGGCTACAGTTCTCTCCTCTTGTGATAGTGCCTGGTTTTGGGGACGAGGGTGACCGTGGCCTTATAAAATGAGTTAGGAAGTGTTCTCTTCTCCATTGTTTTCTGACATAGATTCTGTAGGACTGGTGTTTAACAGAATACACCAGAATGAAGCCATCTGGACTTGGGAGTGTTCTTTGGAAAAAAAAATACTTTAGTTACTAATTCAATTTTGCTCACTGATAGTAGATTGAGTTTTATGTTTCTTCTTGGGTCACTACAGTAACTGTGTCTTCTCTTTTATTTTCTTTAACAACCTTCCAAAATCCTTCCATTCTATTAATTTTGTTTCAAAGGACTAGCTTTGTTTTATTGACTATTCCCTATTATTTTTCTGTTTTCAAGTTCATTGATTTCTGGTCTTTATTTCTTCCTTCTTTCTGTTTGTGTTGGGTTTAATTTACCATGGAAAACACTATGGAAGTTCCTCAAAAATATCAGGAATAGAACTACCATAGGATCTAGCAATCCTACGTCTGGATATTTAGCCAAAATAACATGAAATCGGGATTTTCAAAAGGTACGTGCACAGCTATGTTCACTACAGCATTATTCCGATAGCCGAGAGAAGAAAAAACCCACATGTCAACTGGCAGATGAAGGGGTCGAGAAAACACAGGGTAAACAGGGTGGAGCATTACTAGGCCTTAAAAACAGGAGGGAATCATGTTATGTGCTACAGTGAGGGTGAACCTTGAGGACTCTATTCTCAGTGAAATCCGCCAGTCACAGGGAGCGGATGTTGTGCATTTTTACCTCTATGAGACATCGCAAGGAGTCCAACTCATGGAAGCAGAAAGCAGAACGACAGTTACCAGGGGCTGGGGAGACAGGGGAATGAGCAGCTGCCCCTCAGCGGGCAGAGTGTCAGTCACGCAAGACGGGAAAGGTCTCAATAGCTACTCTAGATATGCTATTGTAGAGTTAACAGCACAGTACCATATACTTAAAAATTTGGTAGATGTCTATCTAGACAATTTTTAAAAATGGTCTAGAAAAGCTAAGAACATTTGGAAAAAATAGCAATAATAGAAGGCTTGCCTTATTAAAAGCTACAATTATTAGACTTCTTTAATTAAAACCATGTGGTTCTAGTGCTAGAATGGCAAAAAAATAATTGAGGGGAAAAAAGAAAAGATCTAAAAATACAAGTATTTATGTACATGTATATGTGACATGCATAATCAGCCAGAAAAGAATGGATTATTCAATAAATGGAGGTGAGAACAGGCTCATCTTTTGGGGAAAAATAGATTCTAAACTGATAGTAAGAAATAAATACAAGATTTTTAAAGATACATTAGAGATACACATTTAGTTTACAACAGGTAAGGATTTTTGACTGGAAGGAAGAATAAAGAAGATAAAGAGTTTTTCTCAACACAGCTAAGTCTTCCTTAACATTAAAGTCATATAAAACATTGCAACACCAAATTATAGGTGAATTTAGAAAAACAAACTCTAACATAAATATAAATATGCTGTTTTTCATTTTCACTAAAACTGCTTCCTTCTAGTCATAAATGCAAATGAAAATTGATTAACCAGAAAAGCAGTGTGGTATTGTAGGAACTGCAGACTATGTCAAAGTCTTCAGCTATGGCTTAAGCTAAGCCCAGCACTGCAAACACAGAGGCGAGATGAATCGCGTTAGGGGAAGTTATCAATCCATGAAGACTAACACACCCACAGACTATCTAATGCCGTGGGAAGAGTCCCATTCATTCAACAAGTCAACAAATGCTATGTCGGACCCTGGACTGCACGCTAAAAATAAAATAATGAGCAAGGAAGACATCATCCTTGCCAGTCAAGAATCTTAGTTTGCTGAACAAGCAGGCAAAGATTATAGTAGTGATAGTCCTGATACAAAAGCTTCAAGGAGATAGGTAAGTATATGGTTTGTAGGAGAGGTTTCGTGAGAAATGTGACATTTTAAGCTCAGATCCAACACACGCACAGGCATTAGCCCAACCACAGTCGTGGGCTCAGGTATAAGCAGAGTGGGGCCGCAGCACATGGAAATGCCCGGCACCAGCGGGGTGGGTGTTGGAGGAGGGCGCATGGAAGCGAATGCGGGCTGAGGACCTGAATCCATCTCACAGGATGAGACTGGAAGTGTGTAAAAAAAAACCTGTCAGCCTCTGACTCTGGTTATAGAATCAGAATTGTGAGCAACTTCTACTTCTTTTCTATTTTTCTCCCTTTTCTAAGTTTTCTGAAGTAATCATATATTACCATTTATTGTTTACTGACCAAAAAAGTATTATTAAAATAATACTTTCCTATTTACTAGGTTTTGGGGGGAAGTTTTTCTTTGGACTCACACAAGTTTTTTAAGAACTAATTTACTCACTTGAAAAATAGGCTAGGAACATTTCACTTCCCAGAGCTGTTTCTTTTTTCAGTCGAATATGATAACATATGTGCAGGAAAATGAATTGGTGGTGGTGACCACTGACCTAACTCAGTATCAGAGCAACCAGATAAAAGGGTATGAAACAGAATGGGGGCGGGGGGCAGGAAGGGGACAGAATCCCAGGAATTAGCAGTAGATCAGAAAGATGAAAACGTGGCCCTAACAGAGGCTGGTGAGCTGGTTAAAAATCTGCAGCCCTGTCGTCTTCAACAGTGATGACAGCCAATGACATTCGAGTCGGGTACTTTCCCCCTCACTGGCCCGACCTCGGCCTCCTTCTCAACCAGGCGGCCCCTGCACAAGGGCACCCCAACGCGGGGCCTCGGGCTTCCTCTAGCCTCGGAGTCGCAAATACAAACGCAGTGAATCCTACCATTTTTTAAAACACGTGGTTATAAAAATGTCTTCTTTAATTTATATTTTAACTTTTAATGGTGTTTTCTCTTAAGTATATCTTACAGAACTTCGAAAGTTTTGATTTAGTATTTTGCAAGCTATTTATCTATTATGCCAGAATAATAATAATACAGGGACTATAGCATTTTACAAATGTTTACATACTTTTACAAATGGTGAGGTCACATGCACATAGATTTTTTAGATTGACTGTTGCTTTTTCACAAAATGGAAGAAAAAAAATGACTTTCTTACCTTTCTTCTGGCGTATCTACATGAAATGTTCTCTCTATAACAGTGGTCCACTGCAGGCATCTGATAATAAATGTGTTTGGCTTTGGTCGTTCTGTTTTCATTAACTGGCATTCTAGTAACAAAACAAAATGTCTCTTTGAATATACTTATATTTAAACCAAGAAATAAACAGTTAAGAACTGCAGCCTGCTATTCTAAATGAGGCCACGGGGGCCTCTCGGCCTTCTGGGGTTCTCCACGCGGGGAGGGGCGGGGCGGGGCGGTTTGCACTCTGACCCGGTTGGGGCGCCGTGCCCGCTGCCAGCCCAGTCCACCCCGCTCTCTAGGACAAAGTTCCAGTTTCTCAGACTGACTTTTGAAGCTATTCATTAGCAACCCTGAATCTTTTTCAAATGTTATTCCTCGCCATAAATACAAAGCTAGCATCGCAGCTAATTCTCTTCTTCTTGTAAGATAACCTCAGTATTTAAAAACCTACAGTCCTTTGGAAACAAAATTTACTTTATGATCTGTCCCCCTAAAACCTGAAGTACTTGTTTCTTCAAAATCTAAATTGTCCAGTTAAGCCACCTCTGAGAACATTAGTGTTAAATACTGTATGAGAAACACATGTAATAAAGCATATAGATATAGATATTGATGTATAACTAAATCCTAGTAACATTAATTTGAAAAAAATTAGGAGCCTGATCAAATTCTCAATTTACATAGTTACAACTCTAGCGTTAACAGGTGTCTTTCTTTCCCTTGGAAAACCGGTAGAATTACATCTACAGAATAGTGATAGGATATTGTCCCTCATAGAAAAACAAAAAGGTAGGCCTGTGCATTCCAATCAAAGCACACAGCTGCAAAAACCACAACAGTGACGACAACAAAACCCCCTGAGTCTTAGACGACTGTAAATAAATAATCCTAATAAGTTCATTAAAAATGTACATACAGGGTCTGGCAAAAGTAACGCCTGCTTGAGCGTGGTTGGTAGGGCAGTAATGTAGGTGTAATAATGTGTAGTTTTAATTTGAACATTTCACCTAAAATGTCATATAAGGTGCTTATGTGTGTGCTACTGTTTTGTTACGGAAGTACATGCTTATGATTTTGTGATAAAAGATTGTGTAATAAAAGGGGGCATTATTTGTGCCAGACCCTGTATAGAAAGACAACCGGAGTTATCATTAGACTCTGACCGATCTAGAAAACACTCTCTCAAGTCTTAAAACTTTAAGCAGACATGGATGTCTTTCTTTCCACTTAGAAACTCTGACCCCCAATAAGTTTTCCTAACTTAAAAGGTTCCAACCACAGCTGTCAAGAGGCCTCTGGGTCTTTAGCATAAAATGCTTCATTTTAAAATCTGCTTTAACTGATGCATTGCAAGCTAAATGGAGAACATACTTTGGAATAATCAGCCCATTCATCGTTAGTACAATAGAAAAAAATCTGAAATCTTTGACAATTTAGGTCAGTAGAGAAAATTTCCTTTCCATTATTTTTTTTCCAAAATGTACTCTTCTGAAATAATTACAGCTAAGTCATTGTTTTGGCGTGTTGTGAGTTGCTCCACCAGAGCATCAAGATTTTACGTGCGTTATTTCTCACTCATCCACCCAATAAAGTTCTAACATGTTTCTGCTCATTTCTATTTCTATCACAAGTAAGCAAATGGAAGCCGTCTGATGTTTAAGTCACTCATTCCAAATCATCAAGTCATTAAAGTCATAAGCTGAAGATCTCCAATCCAGGTTTCCCAGCTCCAAATTCTTGTCTCTTCTTAGCACGTCACATGCTGTTTTAGGAGTGGTTGTGGCTCACAAGAGAGAAAACAAGGGTTTATCTCTTTACAATAAGCTTTATATACTTGCCTCTCTAGGTTTTTGCAATTAAATTGACAGAAACAAGTGACACAGAGAGGATTGCAATAGTCTCCCCCAAAGAAAAGTGACCAAACTTCTTGCTTAATATTCAAGCACTAAAAGTAACTGCCACCTAATTTGGGAACGTCACATTTAAAACCAACAGTACCTATAAAGGACACATGGACAAAACAAAGCAAGAGTGGGACGCAGTGGTGCCTGGTGGGGGAAGTGGTGAGAGCAAAACGGAGACAACTGTACCTGAACAACAATAAAAAACAGAAATAAAATTCCCCAAAGTAAAAATAAAGTCTAGCAAAAACTCTAAGAAAAATGAAATAAAATAAAAACAACACCACACTTTGATTCTGTGATTATAAGACAGGGGAAGTTCTAGGTGATAGAGAAGCTGTTAGGGAATGATACTGTTTCAGAATTTATTTCTAGGAGTTCCATTAGAAAAATAGCTTTCTGTCAATACGAGATCCTGGCTACGAGGTTGAAAGCACATGTGCATACTTATTGGCCAACATGTGAAAAACCTGACGTGAAGTAACACAGGACCCCAGCGGCCTGAAGGCTGATGCAAGGACCGGCTTAGGCCCGTCCATCCCTGAGAGCACGTTGGGTCTACAGCTGTGCTAAAACTGTAACAGCGGCCATCAGTAGGAAAAACGTAACTCTCTGAAGGCGTGGACTTCCCGAGACTTTATGAGGTAAACACTCAATGTGTAAATAATACAGGCCAACAAAAATATTTTAACCTCCTTCCACAGGCCACTTGTGAAGCTCTCAAAGGAAACAGCACATAAGAAATAATTCTATTAAGAGAGTATTATATGTTTATTTTTAATTCCTTTCTAAGAGTACCCTCCACAGAGAGAAGCCTTCTTCATGCGCTTTTGGAAGCAAAAACTGCTGCTGGTTGGACGGTTCAATTATCATGAACTGTTCTGGCATATTTCGAAAGCACTGCCGTTTTAAAACATAGAAAATGTCTAAAAATGCAGCCAGAGTAATAGATTCCGAGCGCATGGGTGGGGGGGTGAGGGAGAAAGACAAAGACAAATTGGTCCAAAAGGACACTGAGACTTCATCGTTGGAAGACTATTGTGCTGACAATTAGTGACAGGAAGCAGAGCACAAAACAAGTGAATGGAAAAGCTGCACTTGCAGAGAGCGACCTTATTATAGAGCAGAAACACCATTGTAATCAGGGGCGGTGCGCCCTCCTCTACGGAAGAGGCGCCCTGCTCTCTTTCTCTGCCCCTACATTTCACTTCTTCATTAGCATGTGCTTCATTATGTGTTATTTCCAACCCCAAAGAATGCCCCTACGTCTTTCCTAAATTCCAGGGCTTACAGGTTCTTTCTCTAGACTTGGCCTTGGGCCTCATCTAACTTTACTCAAAATACAACAAGTACTTTTAGACTAGCATAAAGACATGGGGGGGGGGACAGAAAGACAGTGATTTGTGTGTAACTGCAGAGACATCAACAAAACACGTGATCCTCAAGTCCAGTTTGTTAAAAATGCGATGATCACAGAATTCCCACCTAATATCCAGACAGTTCTGCCTCTAACAATGAGTGATTCTCCTATGACTCGTGTGATAGAACTAGAAGAACAAGGCTGAATTCTGCGCACACTACTGAACCCTCCGCATCAAGCTTCGGCTGACTAAGAAGCTGAAACACACTCACGTTCTAGGTGACGAGACTGGGTCCATGACATGGGCGGACACAGACCCAGAAGCAGGGAGAGGCCGTACCTCTGGACCCTGGGAAACCTCTACCCCTGGACCCTGATGAGCGCAGCCCCAGATGCTTTCCCTGAGCAGCGGTGTGGGAAAAGCACCGGCCCTGAAGCCGGGAAGCTGTGGGTTCCACTTCTAGTTCCACCGCTTACTCGGTAACGTGACCACTGGCAAATCCCGTGAGCCCCGCTTCCCCAGCTGTGACAGATACAATGAGCCCTAAAAAAGCGTTAGAGGAGTAACCATATGGATGGGAGGTGCACAGCACACGGGTGCTCAACAAGAGGCAATTTATTATTATTAATTCCCAAGAGACTTCATGTGTCGGGAAATTATCTGCTGGTGATAGGCAAATCAGTGACTTTCAGAAGAAAAGGAGACCTTTAGAGATCCCTCACTCTACCGCCCTCCTGTCACGGATGACGTAACCCAGAGCCCCAGGGCGGTTAAGTGACTGACCCAAAATCACACAATGCAGTCCTATCAGATGATCAGGCACCTGGCTCCCACCTGCACCAGTGCCCCTGCTATCACGTGTCACCATCACTTAAACAGCCCCCTGGAGAACAGCGAGGGTCTGCTATCTACCTGCCGCGTGTGATACTTGGCATACCACATTTTTGTGGGTGTTGACTAAACAGCATTTGAAGAGAGTTGTCACCGCCAAACCCTTTACGTGATTACGTGCATCCAAGCCAGGTGTTACTTAATCTCTCTCTCTCTAGGTCTTAGTTTCATTCTCTAGTGTGTTTTTTTAAGGTAATACTTATTTCAGGTTAATTCTTATCACCAAAAAATGTAATCATATAAATAAAGCACCTTGCACAAAGTAGGCTCTTAAAAGTGTCAATTTTTTCCCTTCCTTCCTTAAGTCCCTCTTAGTTCCATATGGATTAATTATAAGGCAGGATTAAAGCACCAAATATAATGGGCATATACTCACTTTTAACTGACATTTTTAAAAATTACACCACCTTCCACCTTCTGGAAAATGAAATGTAAGCTAAAAAAATTAAAAGCAGACAAATAAATCAGGTGTGTATCTGCATTTAACTTAATAAAAATGAACTGTCAATCAATGGGCACAGTCAGAAAGGTGTGTAGACAGAATTTGTACCCTTCCGACATGGGAGGGTGTCACCAAGGAACAGGGTGGACACAGTAATAACACAAAACAAGAAGCTCCTTCCGCTGTTGGTAGTGTTTTACAGTCGGTAAATTTCGGCCTGAGAAGCTAACGCACATTGACCTGCCAGTCATTGATGGGAAACGTTATGCGACAAGCCCACCACCGCGGCTCACTGCGCACAGGCTGCGAGCGGCCCCCCGCCCCCGCCCCCATCCCCACCACCACCTTGCCTCTCCCGTGTAAAGGCCATCGGATTTGCTTTCAATCAACAGATAGGAGATGCTGTATTCTTTTTAAAAAGCCTTTAGAGCTAAAGAAAATAATATCATCTGTAAGATGGGATTTAAAATGGGAGTATGTATTTTCATCA